AAGTCTACGCGAATACAATCTAATAATTTGAGGGAGTGGAGTGCAAAGGTCTCTCTAACTAGTGGGAGAAAAACATAGCATGTATAGATGTTATTTTAGAGAAAAGCAGTTTGGCAGGGAAGAGCACTGGCAAAAAGTACAGCAAATGCGTCTATCAGAGCTCTAGATTGTTATTTTTAATAATGGCCTTGAAGAAGAATGCAAAGGGAAGGGAAAATAACAGGAGCTTTTAGTGTGTGTACTCCTCTTAATGAATGAACTCTCCTTGAAAACATTTGTTAGATAGAAGCAATTAAGGCTAAGGTTCTGTCCTCCCTCCACTAATTAATTATAGCAAATGAGCCTGTAATGTGCATCATAACAACATAATAAGCTGGGCCAAACTACTTTCGATTCTTCCATGCTAGTATTTTATCACTGCTAAGTTATTTAAATTAGGTGAGTAAATCTGAACATAAATAGCTTTTGAATTACCTGTGTCCTTCAAAGTACAGTCTATTCCTTGAGTAAATGTGCTGTTCACATGCGGGTGGGAGCAGAGAATGGCAGTGGAGCAGTGAGGACAGAGCTATCATTTTAATGACCTTCCCTTTACAACGTGTAACTGACCAGCTGGACTCCATTCCATCAGCTCCCATGCATTTTTTCAGTTTGGGACCTGACTAGTGGAGACAACACAGCCATAGTTGCTGGTACTTTGACATCATTGGTATGTTATCAATTATTGTCTCAAATGTCTAACTGAACCTGGATCAAAGTGTATCTAATACAGGGTCTTTAGTAATGTCCATGTTGTTAATGAAACTTTAAAGGTAATTGGTGACTCATTGAGTCAATGAACAGATCTTGTGCATCTGGAGGTGAGTTAAAATGTGGTTTACTCTCAATGAGAGAACCAACAGCCATGCCAGCTGTGAATGACCTCAGGCACAATCATCTCAAAAGCCCTGGTTTCTTTAAAAATCAAAGGTCAACATGTCTTTTGGATACAGCATTTGCTACTACCTCAGAATTAATTGGCTAATTTCTGCTGGAGTCAAGCAGATCCTCATTACCCACTTCATGGAGCACAAATTGTTTATTGCCTACAATGCCTACACAGGTATAATTCAGTTTGAGACTAGGAGGGAGAGGGTGACCTAAGAGAACAAGTCAGGGCCTTAAGGAAGTCTCTCAGGTGACCTGTCAACCTCATCTTCCTTCTCTCCTCCCTTTCTTTCTTCCTTCCTTCCTTCCTTTCTTTCTTTCTTTCTTTCTTTCTTTCTTTCTTTCTTTGTGTGTGTGTTTCTTTCAGGTGCATGTGTATGTACATGTGTATGTGGAGGCCAGAGGTCAGCAGTCAATATTTTTCTCAGTTGCTCTCCACCTTGTTTTTGAGACAAGAACCCTCACTGGACTTGAACCTCACTTGCTGGGTAGACTGAACAGTCAATGAGCTTCAGTGATCGACCCCTGCCCCGACTCCAGTGCTGGGATTACAGACATGCAGTCATAATCAGCTTTTTTATGTGAGTGTTAGGAATTTGAACTCCCATACTTGGGGGACAAGCACTGGCTGAGTCCTCTTCCCAGCACATTTCTACTGAATTTTTCTGGAACAAATAACAAGGTTTTTTTTCTAATATAGAATAGAGAAGCATGGAAAAACTTTCATGAATGACTTTCGGAATGTGAGATATTTAGAACAATATGGGAATACTACAGTTTGGCAGACCAGAACAAATAGACAAAGGAGAAATAATTTATCAACCCTTTCCTTTCTTTCCATCAGGGCACCTGTCATCCCTAGGAGGCAATAGGTGAGAATGGACACACAGAGACTCTGATTTGAGTCTACAATCATTTTTATTGATGCATAAACTATATTTGAACATATTTTGGATGTATATACTTTTTACCCTTAAATGTGTTAGTCTTAGGATAGGAAGTAAATATATATAAATAAATATATATAAATATAATACCTTTCATGAAAATCAAGTTTTGGTATAAAGCGTTTGACAGAATAAAGCAAGCTTGTAAAATAAAGGGCTCTAACTTTTATTCTCCACTTTATTTTCCTCCCATCTTACCTTTTTCTTTTCGGGATTTATTTTTTAAAAAGTTCTTTTTAAGATATAAAAATGACAAAAGTGTAGGTGTACCTTTTCTCAAGCATACACACATTTTCAAAATTTGGAAAACTTTGGAATCACTCAGGATTTTTCTGGTGCCCCAACAATAAAAAATTCAGACATCAATATATGATCAAATAAAGTATCTTTCTTTAATGGGAAGAAACCATCCTTTTTTAAAATTTTTAGTATATTTGTTTGCTTATTTTTTTCTTTGTGTGTGTGTGTGTGTATGTGTGTGTGTGCGTATGTGTGTGTGTGTATGTGTGTGTGTATGTGTGTGTATGTATGTGTGTGTGTATGTGTGTGTGTGTGTATGTACGTGTGTGTATGTATATGTGTGTATATGTGTGTGTGTGTGTGTGTGTGTGTATGTATGTGTGTGTGTATGTGTGTGTGTGTATGTACGTGTGTGTATGTATATGTGTGTGTGTGTGTGTGTGTATGTGTGTGTGTGCGTATGTGTGTGTGTGTATGTGTGTGTATGTATGTGTGTGTGTATGTGTGTGTGTGTGTATGTACGTGTGTGTATGTATATGTGTGTGTGTGTGTGTGTATGTATGTGTGTGTGTATGTGTGTGTGTGTGTATGTACGTGTGTGTATGTATATGTGTGTGTGTGTGTGTGTGTGTGTGTGTGTGTGTGTGTGTGCCACAGCCCACATGTGGAAGTCAGAGAACAACTTGAGGGCAGTAGTTCTCTTTCCCCTCTGTGGGCTTTGAGGATTGAATCAGGTCATCAGGCTTGGTGGCAGTCACCTTTACCCATTAAGCCATCTCACCTGCCCACAGCAACATATTTTATGTACATTTGTCACATACTAGCAGGTCATATACACACTGGTGATTTGTTTAAAAAAATTGAACTATAGCCAGATAATCCCATTTTCTATTGTTGCTGTGACTATTCTAGCTGTTAGATTTTTTTTTCTTGACTCTTACTGCCAAAGTGGTCTTAAGCAGAGCCTCAGATGCAGCAGTCTCTGTTAGGTTAATAAGCTTATCTGACCCACCTACCAGTGGGAGTCTTCTTTGAATGGCCATGATTACTCTCCACAGAAAAGCTTATTATAAGTCATAGAAAAGGCCACTAATGATGGTTCACTGCAGTCTAATCAAATTTATCAGTGCCATGTCAACCGTAAAACAAAATCTCCATTTAGGAAATAGATTCCATTACACCAAGCCCCCAAGTTTGCTTTTCTCTTAATACTAAGGCTGTGTCTTGAAGAATCCATAATTGGTATAAAATAGTTATCTCACATATATATATATATATATATATATATATATATATATATATATATGTGTGTGTGTGTGTGTGTGTGTGTGTGTGTGTGTGTGTGCGTGTAAAATTATTTCAAAAGGACAATGAATAATTTCCTCAAATCTGTTCACATTTACTATGCAGTAACCATTTGATTTCATGAATTTCTCATTGTTTTGTGATAATGTTATTCCCTTTGGTACTGGAAAACAAAACTTAAAAAATTATATGTTAGGATAGCCTAAAAGGAGCAAATTTAATCTATCAATGACATTGAAACATGTACACAGCAAAGTAAAAAGTCACTCAGTGGAAAAAGGAAATTTGTATGCTACTAGAATAACCATGTTAAAACAAACAGCGAAAAAAATTTTTCACAGCCATTAAAGATGTCAAGTGTTCAATTTCAACAGACATTCAACAAAGTGTAAATTAAAACCACAAACAGATACTATTATAGCATGATTAATTTTACACATCAACTTGACTAGGTGAAAGGATGCCAGTTAGTGAAATATTTCTGAACGTGCCTGTGAGAATGTCTCTGGAAAGATTAGCGACAGAGCCAGAGTCGGGAGTACAGAACATCAGCCTTCATCAGTGTGGACATGCGTCAAGCAAGCTGTGGAGAGGGCCTAAGTAGAACAAAGAACAGAAGAAGGTGAATTTGCTTTTTCTTTTTGAACTAGGATGTCTATCTTCTCCTGTTCCTAGGCATCAAAACTCCTGGTTCTCTTGGGACTTCAGTCTCTGACACTCCCTCAAGTAGGCCTTATCCACACCACCACCTTGTAGTTCTTGGGCCTTTGGCCAGAGAAGCTTATTACTGTCATTCCCAAGTCTTCAGTTCATGGATGGCAGATAATGGGACTTCTAAGCCTCCACAATACTTGCTATTGTCTCTGTTTCCCTAAAGACTCTTGTTTAAAAATAAAAATCTATCTGTCTATCTATCTATCTATCTATCTATCTATCTATCTATCTATCTATCTATTTATTTATTTATTCTATGTATATTAATGCTTGCCTGGATGTGTACTACATGCTTGTCTAGTGCCCACAGAAGTCAGAAGAGGGTATCAGATCTTCTGGAACTAGAGTAATGGATGGTTGTGAACCACTGTCCACTATGGGGGTACTGGGATCCAAACCCAGGTCCTCTGATAGAGCAGCTGGTGCTCTTTTTTTTTTTTTTCCAAGCCAAACTGTATCCAGCTTTATTAAAGATACTTTCCATAAACAATCATGGTTTTTCAGGCAGGACATGGGCAGACAGTCATTAACAGTATACAAGAACTTCCAAACTCCCTTCTTGTATAGACTACCAAAATCAGAAAGCTACTATAAAACCCCATGAGTCTTCATTCGATGCTTTGAACAGGGGGGAGAGTTAGAGTGAGGGCTGACAGTTCACATTGAGGATGTTGTTTAACAACTTTTCACAAGCCGACCCTGACTTTCAGGAAATCAAATGAACATGGCAGAATTATCAATCTGAAGATCCACAATCTTTTATAAAAGGAACCGCTGCTCTTTTGAGGAAACAATGATACCACTGCAAAGTCCATACTGCCTGACAGACCAGCAAAACCAATTTTGGGGGTCAGGTTCCAACAGGTCTCTGGTTTGAAGGGAGTTAAGTCTATGTTGATGGTACAGGGAAGGAGGACACAGAAATGAATTTAGTTTCCCACACAAGGCATTTTGTGCCATGGTGGCCCATATGTCAACACCAGGACGTCTCTCCTGAGAGCCAAGAGGAGTCTTTCAAAATTATCATGGAAAGATGTTTTCCAACATCAATCATCACCAATCCAGCTTGGGAGACATTTTGTTAGTGACACATGTTCCTTCCCCTCTCAAAACAATGAAGTGTTCTGTGTGCTAACAACATAGCTTAAAAAAAAAAAGTAAAACAAAATTCTGCATTTTTATAAAACTTGATAAAAATAGTATTTCAAACTGTACAGTCACCAGAAGTACACAGTTATCAAAAATGCACACATTTCACTTGGCATCTCCAGCACCTTCAGCTTTTTGCGCCTGGTCTGTTTTGGCGTCTCCGTTTTCTGCAGAATTATTCACATCCTTCCCGGCATCGGCCTTGCCCTTCCTCCCCTTGGGGACCTTCTCTCCCTTCTTTGCAGGGCCCTTTTTAGGCTTGGGCTCTGGCTTTGGAGGAGCAGGTTTAGCAGATAACCTTGCAGATCTTCTCTGTGGCTCGTCCTCCACCTTGGCTTTATCTCCTTTAGTATTCCCTTCAGCCTTTCTTTTGGGCATGGCGGCGGGGGACGTCGGCGCTGAATGTGGGGATGCAGCGGTGTGCAGGTTTGGTCCATCAGGGGGTCGTTCTCGCCGCTTCTTCACACTGCTCCCCACTGGTGCTCTTAACCACTGACCCATCTTTCCAGCTCTTCCAAAGACTCTTGGTAAATTGTGTGTGTGTGTGTGTGTGTGTGTGTGTGTGTGTGTGTGTGTGTGTGTGTATGGCAATGCCTATGATGGGAAAGGTAAAGAAGAAACAGCAGAATTCTCATATATTTCTGGTAGGCAAGAGATTCCATACAACTTCTTTGAAAATCTGTTTGTCAGTATCCATCCAAAATAAATGCATGTGTACTCTATCACTGGAAAACCCTACTTTTAGATTAGAAATTCATTATTATATATTATATTAACTGAATATATATTATAACTGAGTATATATTAACTGAGATACATGTGCTGCAGTGACTATAGCAATTTGAGTATCCTTAAATGGAAAATTACTCAAATATCCATCAACAGTGGAACAATATGTTCATATAGTAAGTATTCTATAGACAAAATTACAGAAATATGAATGGATATCACAACCACAGAGTCAATTAAAAGAGGCCCAGTACAAAAATATATACATTCATGATCCATTCATATAAAAAATGAAACATGACTCACTAATATCATCTTGCACTATTTATGTTACCCAGTTTGAAGTTAAGTATCAGAGGGTAAGAGTGTGCCTCCTCTACATCTCTCATTGGCTCTGTCCACTATTCCCTTGAGTATTACATATATAGTAAAACTGAGATTTTTTTTAATGAATGCTGATGTTGGAATCAACAACTAAGCAACAAGTCGTTGTTGTTGCATTCAAGGGGGAAAAGGATGCTGAGTAGTTCTCGCAAATCATCCTGTGACTCTGACTACCAAAAAAAGTTTTTTTTTCAATGTTCGCATCTATGTTCCCATTAAAGCCCAGAACATATTTTTATTTAGTCTATGCTTATAAGTAGAAATTTGTTAGGTGTGATGTGATAGAGGGAATGGGTTGGCAAGAAGGGTATTAAAGAAAATGAATGAACTTGTTTAATGCAATTTACACCAAGGCATTTGCCAAAATCTATTATAAACATTTACTTCACACCTAATCAAAGCAAGAAAAGTTGCAAGTGGATATCTCATTAAGGCTCCCACCATGTGTTTAAACTATGCACAAATGGACCACATGAACACTAAGAAGATGTAAACAGAGGGCTCTGCTGACTTGAGTACAATTTACAACAAAGACAACACATGTTTAACGATGTATAGGAGGGCTAATTAAATGTGGAATAAATGACAAATGGTACTCAAGCAGTTTAACCTTATGGGGGTATTCTTAACTAAATTTCTAATCTCTCTCCCCCTCTGTTTCTTCCCCCACAACCTTTTCTGTGACAGAGTTTTGCCTTTTTTCTTTTGCAACAGAAGATAGTACAAAAGTTCTCAATACATAGTTGTTGGATAAAAGAAATGCCAGTGTTTATAACTCACCTCAAACTGTCTCCGTGTGGAGTTTATTGTGTCCCACTTATCCACAATCTCTTTTTCGCTTTCTCTATATCCCTTTGCATATCTCCTTCATGCACCTTACTTTCAGGGTCTCTGAACCACTTGTCCAAATGATTATCACTTACTGCTAAGTAGGCACAGCCTTCTCTACCTATAATTCCACCTAACTAGGGTCCTGGGTTCAATAATTCTGGAAGTAGCACAACTCTGCAAGATATGCACCAGAAGCTCTGATTCTTATCCTTGACCTGGGTGCTCAAGTCACTTGGCAACTTTGAAAAATACCATTGGCCAGAGCCTACATTCTGACTTGCTTTTTCTGGGGTAGATCTCTGGCAGTGTTTTTTCATTATATAAGTCCATTTTAATATATCATAGGCTGAAAAATACTAGATGGGGAAAGAAGTATAAATAATAAAGGAGAAAGAGATACAAATGTAGACACTGGGCATTTGGGGCATAGAGGAAGAGGAATGGAGATGGGGAGAGAACCAGCAGAACAAGACAAGCTGTCCTTGGCTAGGGTTAGAGTGCTAATGGATAGAAGCTGAAACTCAAACATATCTTTTACTCAATCCTAAGAAGTCACTAATAAGTTAGCTTCTTGTGGTTCCATACACTGTGACAAGTGTTGTTTTCATGGGATGAAGAATGAACATGGTATGGACAAAGCACATGTAATTCTTGAGTGTATGGCCAGGTGAGGAGGTCATGGTAAAGGTAAGCTGTTTTCATCAGGGTAATAGCTTCAACACTCTGTATCTAACCATACACACACCTTTCCAAAACAAGCCTCCTGTCTGCTAGACATATCACTTCTGGCCTACATCACCACATATTCTCTTCTTCTACCCACTCTAGTAAAAAGCCAACTTTTATCATATCATTTGATGGGAATGTTTTAGTAGTTGTTATTACTGGCTTGGGCCATAGCTCAGTGAGAGAGTGTCTGATTTAGCATGATGTTTGATGTCCTGAGTTTGATGCCCTAATTAGAGTTTGAAAGCTAATTTTATCATTTAGTAATCATGAGACTTTGACCAACTGATTTTATGAGTTTTAGTTATTTTCAATACAAAAATGAAATTAATAATATATACTTTAAAAGGGTTGTGAGAAATGTTATAAAAATAAAATTTATTACATTTGGAAAAAACACAACAATTATAATACTACTTCTCTGGACAAGACCATCAATGTCCAATTTGGCAGCTACTAGCCATATGTAACTACTACTTACATTTATGTTATTATAAGCATTTAAGTTAAACTTCAGTTTTAAGGCTGGAGGAATAGTTTAACAGTGCTGATTGTTTTTCCAGAAGACCCAGGTTCAACCCCCAGCACTCACATGGAGGCTCATAGCCATCTGTAACTTTGGGCCCATGGGATCTGAAGGCATCTTCTGGCCTCTTAGGGTACTTGCATGTACATGGTACACAGACATACATGCAGGCAAAATACTCAAACACACAAAATAATAAAATAATTTTTAAAAATTCAGTTTCTTTGCTTTATCAAGTGCTTACATGAAAAGCCTGATACACATAGCTAGTGCCTTCTTCACTGAGCTGCTCCAATAACACAGTATTTTCATCAGTGCAAAAATTCCATGCAGAATCCACCAGAATCTGCATAAGGTAAAGATAGGAACTCTATGGGATCCACCAGCTGGGAAATGACAAGTAGGATTGAATAATTTGATCAGAATATCCTATGCATGGCATACATGCTTCCTTTCTTTCCACTTCCATAAAGGAAGGCAGGAGAAGGGGTGCAGTGAAATGGTTCCTGACAACTTGAATTCAGTTTTGGAAGTAGAAGGAGAGAACTGACTCCAAAAAGTTGTCCTCTGAATTCCAAATGCACACCATGATATGTGCAAGCCTTCATTCATACACATACAATATTAACAAAATAAAACAACTTCATAAAAAGGAGTCAGGGGAAAGAGGAAGAGAGGAGGAGAAAGGAAAATGAGGAAGAAAGAGAGAAAGGGAGGAAGAGGAGGAGGAACTGAGAAGTCTCAAAATAATCTAGCTTACTCAGCAATGTTCTTGCAGCTGGGGAGGTTCAATCAGTCTTTGGCACTGTATAAGCAAATAAACCAATCTATGATGGTCAAGAAAAGGTCTGTTTACTATTCACTCATAACTTCAAATTGACACTTGGTCAGCTTTGAATTCATTTCCGTAGCAACATGGCAGGGCCATAAGGCAGCAAGCCTTTTGAGAACATCTATCCCACCACCTTGGACTTTGAAGTTGTTTCTCACCTTAATAGCTAGGCCTAGGCTACCTTACAACAATTGTCATCCATAGCCTATATTGTTCAAGTCACTAGTAAAGTCCTGAATTGTGTAAACAGAAAAATCAAGAACATGTTGGGCCAGAGCTCTTGCAAAGCACCATTTCACAATGTTGTCATCATAGATGACATCACAGATACATTATTCTGGAAATTCACAAAAAAATAATGATGCAATATACTACCAGGCATTATGCAGATCTTTGCTTCTAAATTCAAAAGTTTAAAATTTTATAAGGAATGTGAAAAAATTACAACAAATTTTATTGACATAAATGCTGTTTTAGAATGCTTGAACTGAGCTTTAAAGTGTTAGACATGAGGAAGAAAATGCAGGAATGGGAAACAGGGAAGCCAGACCAGTGTAAACATGCAAACCCACCTTACATAAAGTCCTGTGTGTAGCACAGTATCCCACAGCTGGTTCTGGGGAAGAACAAGTTTCCCTGAGACTCTGAGTACAGGTGGTATGACCACAAGCAAGTTTGAGACTATCTCACAAAACTGTAGCTTGTTTATGTAGATGAATGCAAATTACCTGCTAAATAAACCCAGAGTAGTCAGTTCTTTCTTTTTGCACATGAGGAACGACTAAGCATATTTTCTGGCTTGAGAGTGCTCTTGAGTTATGACTTCTACTCAGTTTATATGTAGGTCCCAGATAACAAGTTTCTTTAAAGCCTCCATGGAGTTCAATCTGTCAGGTTATCCTATGTGTCATCTCAAATGTGAGCCATGGTTTTGCTGTCTTCTTAGCCACCCAAATTTAGAGAAAGTGTTCAGAATTCCCAAAAAAAGCAGACATTCTAACTGATTCTTAGCAAGACAGCCAATTTCACAAGTGTGTGCTGTATTTTCAAATGCATGTTCTGAATCTAAAAATACCCACTTTCAATTTGTCTATAGCTATGCTTGCTGAAGATAGACACTAAGAATACATAGAAAGAAAAACATATGCTCCCTTTCCTCCACTTTTACTCACCAATATCTTATATATCTTGCAAAAGCCACTTCTACCCTTCATATTTTCCATTAACTTTTTCCAGCCCAAAGTAGCCTCTTCTCAGTGTGATTTATAGTTGTCTGACTTTAGTACTTACTTAGTGTCCTATTTTATAGACACTTATTATGATACCTCCAGTTATCATTTAGCTCATTATATGTG